TTTTGCACTACTTTGTTGTCTCATCCTGATGTTCTTTTTATGTTGCATTATGATATGGAAAAAGCAATTTTGCAAAAGTACTTGAAAATCAAGCTCACTCTATGCTTATGAAAGGAATGACATTGACCCTTCCAAAACCTTTTTCTTGTTGAGAATTATGAAAATTAAGCTTTTACCTTGAAGAGATCCTTTAATGATTAAATCATAAACTTTGTCATAAATGATTGAGAGATTGTTGCATAATAGACGGTAGATATTGTATCACCTTCATCATACCCATTTATGTTGGCCTTTGCTGACTAATCATACATTGCATTATTGATTTATATACTTTTGTGCATGGCCTCTTATAATCATCACTCAAATGGTAAATTGTGTTTTGTTTATGGGCTTAAACCCCTCCAGCCCCCCTCCAACTTCTTGTCTTTTAGGCTGCTAGCCCTCCAACATATAATATTTGTAAGTTAGCCCTTGAACTACATATCACTGGGAAGATTGACTCAAAATTGATGGCAAGTTGGCAACCAATCCCAATGAGAATCTCCGCCCTTGAAATATATTCCCTTGAACCCCTTTTAATTAATTAATTGAGTGGTGGATTCTTAAATTTATATATGTGACACTTATTTTATCTATATAAAATTATAGTAAGATTTAAAAAAAAAAAGAAGAAGTCAAATAAGCAGCATAATTTGTTTGTTTGTTTGTTTTTTTTTTTTTATTGTTAAGTTGGTATTGATTGGGCTTGGGTTAACATAGGAGTAATGACAAATGGGTCAATATGATTCTTTATGGTTAAATTCAGAGTGATTTTTCTAAACTTGAGGACTTAAGGGGTCGAAAACAATATATTATATGTTAGAGGGCTAACACCTTAAAAGACAAGAAGTTGGAAGGTAGGGGGGCTGCGGGGTTAAGCCTCGTTTATTCGTGAATTTTATAATTTTTGTTAAATCTTGAGTTTTGATAGACTTTGCTTGGGGTGCCCTAAACTTCTTCCGGATAAAATACAAAGGTATACATTATTTTTAAAACCAATGTTACATGGTTGATTTTAATTGAATATTTGATAAAATTAAAATTAATTTTTATTTTTTTTATAAAAATTAATTATTAAAATATAGAATAAGTATATTCTTAATTTGTACCCTAAAATATTAAGGTTAGAAAAATTAAAAGCAAAATCATGAATTGAACTTATAATTTCTTCTTATCTTCTAGAATTTTAAACCCGTGAGTTGGTTAATCATTGTTGAAGAATGAATTTTGCCGGCAAAAAGTGGGGAGTGGGGGGCGAAGGGTGGGGTGGAGCGTGTGGAAAATCATCATCAGATTTATGGTCCAAATTCTTGCACCAAAGTTCACATGCAAATATACCAGAAGAGTCGAAGACACTGTCAGGTAAGAAGACACTGTCAGGTAAGAAGACAATGTGGATTCACAAGACTCCCTAATATTTTGTCTCCTTCCCATTTTGTAAAGGAAAAATTGGATGGAGAAGCCTAAAGCAAACCCATCTATGTATTTCCATTAACAGTTGAAATAGGTAAAGACAAGCATTCATGGTTCAATTTCAACACAAAGGCCCATCTCCTCTGCCTCATGTGAACACAGTCAATAATCCTATGCACTACTTTCCCTATTTTCACAACCAATTTTTTATTCCATCAATAACAGAAACAACAAACCATGGCCCTTCAAATCATGGGTGCTTTGGATGCTCCAATACTCTTGCTGCTTCTCTTGGCAAGTTGGACCCATCTCAAGATACCCCCTCTTAGTTAATTTGCTTTATAATGTTTTACGTTTTAACACTCAGGTATTAGAGTGTGGTCCCTTTGAGGGTCATGGCAATAGTCATACACCAAGTAGTTCCTCTGGACCCACTCCATTGCGCTTACTTGTTGCTGGCTGAGGCCACCGGAGGGAGAAGGCGAGGTGGAGGGCGGGCTGCACGATTCAGGTCCATCAGCCATGCAGCCTCCTAGTTTGAAATTTCTGTACCTACCAACAAAGGGTTGGTAGCTATAATCAGCTTTGTATTTTCCATTTTCAGTGGCCCATGATGATGCATCCCATATGGATCCATATACCCACATTGGCCTTAAAGGGAACGTAGCATCACTCTTCCTTGGATACCTCCTAATTGGGACATCATCAACAAAGAATCTGTGCATTAAGCCACAAAAAACAATCAATCAATTTTTGCTTTTAAATGGCAAACAAAATAAGTTAGACATGAAATTTTGAACCGTAAACAGGCTCATTAATTAGTGTACTATATAGAGATATACATTGTTACTTACATGATCTCACTTGGGTTCCAAAGAATAGAGTAGTCATGGTAATCTTGTGTTGGATCAAACCATAGGTGAAACTTTATTTCCCTTCCAGTTATATTTCCATCACCACTTCCTTTCATATAGACATTTGTCTGCAGAGTATAGGGCTTATCAGGGGTTGTTCCCAGGAACTCTATATCAATTTCATCATGGTTTCCTGGATGGTCTTCATTATTTGAGAGCTGCCGTTATCCAATGCCAAAGCAGGAAAATTAAAGTCAATTTTTAACAATACTTAACATTTGAAAGAGGTGTGGGTGTCAAGTGTTATAATTCTCACATAGAAACATGTAATGACTCCCGCAGTATAACCAGGTTGGAGCTTAACGGCAGCACCAAAGTAGCCTGATCGATATGGATGAAGTGACTTGAACCCACTACCTGTTTGAACAAATGCAGAAAAGAAAAACAACAGAATCTGAGTGAGTGACCCACAAAGATCACAAAATGATAGGAGGAAGAAACTAAGGGGACAACACATAACCTGAGTATTGGTCAAGCCAAATTATTAATGAGCTTTGGTCTACTGTCTGATGCTGAGGACCCCAGAGGTTTCTAAAGCCTTGATCAAAGCTCAGAGAAGGAATTTTAGAGCCAGGGAAGTATCCAGGTGAAGGTGGATATTGAGCAAAGCTTCCTGAGGAGAACATAAGAATGAAAAGAAAAATGGAAATGGGAGCCAACAAGTGGAGCTGAGAAGCCATGGACATGGTAGTGAAACAACAGGGCTTGCGCCCAGATTACGACTTTGGGACCAAAAATTGGAAGCAGGGATGAGTGTGGCGAAGTATGGGTAAAGCACTTGGTATAAATAAGGGGATTAGAGGTCCCACAAAAGAAGTGAGGTGGTAAGTTAGTTGATGGGGAGTTATGGAAGAGGACAAAAGATGACATTCTGGGGATGGAATTTGGAAGGATTGTTCCGATTGTGGCATGTCCTCTTTTCCTTTCCATTACTTCTTTAACATTAAACTTCTTACTTCTGGCTGCCTACTTCAGAGAGCAGAGGATTTGAAAGAGAAGAACATTTAATACTGGATATATACTAGGAGACTCTAGCCGGCTAGCATTATGTGATATTGGCTTTTGCAGCTCCCCAATGCCACATATAAGGTAAGCATCGAGCAATGATAAAAAAAAATTTCTCGACATAATTTCATAACTTGTATTGGAATACTATCTCCATTTGCAAATTGCTTCTATGCCGTTGATGATAGTGACAAGACAACCATAACTGAATCAACTTTCTTAGTTTTTGGTACACATTAGGTGGTTAGTTTTCTTTGTGATAATCCATGGTACAAAATTCGTTAACTTTGTGAACCTTTTTGGAGAAAAGTAGTTACCAAGATTTGGATATGAATGCTAACTTTTTCAACTTCTTATGAATGAATAAGCAGCCTTGGTACATTTTTTACATCGTTGGCTTTACTTACTCTCAATATTAGGCAACGTCTCTACAATAAATATTGTTTTTGCTACTCCTCTGTCCAGTACTTAAAAACAATTAAACTGGACCTACAACCAACAATGCAATTTCGAGTTTGACAAAGTAGACAATTAAAGCATATAGTAGTAAATATGCTATGCTGATCATCTTAATCATTAGCATAGAAGTCGCTGAGAATGTAATTTTTGGGGTGATTTTGTCCTCCAAGCTGGAATGAGGCAACCTGAAATGATGGGTTGGTTGCTGCTTGTATCGGGGACCATGATTGCTTGGAAGCATGAACAAAAGATATAATTTGAGATATCTTCTTAATTTCTCACTATTATACTGAGATTAGTTATGTTACTTCGTAAATGTCAATTGAAATGATTAAACATGTTTGTATTTTTTTTTTTAGTACTAAACTTTTTTGTATTTAAAAATTATATTAAATCTTAATTAATTTAAAATTGAATCAAATCGAATGTTATAAGAAAAAACTTTCTCAGTACTTGTCTTTTCACACGGGAAAGCCACATATCTGTAATTTTTAGAATGGTTGCAGTTGCAACCATTCTATGACGTGGTTGTAGGAAGCCTACATTGGTTTTTAATTTGATTCTATGTTACGTGGTCTTGCACTGTTATGTTTGTTAAATATCAATTCAGATATTAGTTTTGGTAGCCAATAGCTTTCAAAAATCACAATTTTCATACACTTAAGTAATCTTCTATTGCCATATCTTCTGGCAGACGATCATCCGGTGAAGAAGTTGACAAAAATGGCGTGCTTAAACACTATGCAGCCATGGCCTACCTGACTGAATGCATGGAGGCCTTAGTACTGGCAGGTCAAGAATGAAACTTTCACAGGATGATATATATCATCAAATGAAAGTACTATATTCCCAATTCCTAACAAAATTTTCTCATACATTTCTCATAAAGGCCTTAGACGAGACGACATGATATTAAAACCATTGTCAGTAATTGCCCTAAAAAAAGGAAGCACTTCCCCCTGCACATTTTTGAGCATTTCCATGGATAAAGTGCAAAGCTTTACCTTACCATCATCAGTCATTCTTTAAACAGCAAAGGATAAAATAATATAATTGGTCTAATAGTCAGTGCCAATCATCAGTTGGAAATAGATGATATATTTATACACGCATTTAGTGACTGGCCAAATACTTTATCTTAATTAATTAATTATAATCCAATCCATGACAATGACAAGAAATGCCCTAAGATCATGCTGATTTGGGTGGGGTGTTTGTAATAACAGACAAAAAGAAAGAGTTAATTTGGAGAATACAATTGATTGATTAAGATTATGTTAAGTAATCCCCTGTTCTTATTAAAGATTATAAGATTTCCTATGAGGCTTTGGAGTTTAGAGGTTAATCATCAGCAAAGATTCTTTCTTTCTTTTTTGTTTTCTAAACAGGTACAAATTTAGGAAGAGAATTTATACCCGACACCTAAAATTGAAGATGGATCTTTCTTTAAACATTATAGCTAATTGGCCTAGAAGGGCAGGTGCAATCATCAGCAAAGATTATGATCCCATCATAGTAGTAAATACATATGTAATATGATGTTTTTGGAAGTGTTTGATTTTGAATGTCAACAAAAGTTGAATTATGCATGGATCTTTTTTTTTTTCTCTCTAAAAAAAACAAAATTGTAGACTCGACAAACATTTGACCTATGAAGACAATGTATTACTAAAAATTTGTTGGTTCGACTGAAAAAATCTCATTTTCTTTTAAATAAGGTTTCAAGTTTGAGTTTTTTGAATAGAAAAATAGACACTGAGTGAACTTCCCTTCAAATGGGATCCGACGCTACTCAATTATAGATTAATCGAAATTCAATGTAGTTACCAAATACTGAGAAATTAATAAAAAAAAATGAAGACAATGTCCTGACTCTTGCACACTAACAACTTCTGTGATTATTAGTATTTATAGAATCTTTCTGTTCATGATTAATTACTAGTAGTAGGAGTTCATGTAAGCGGATGCCTTTTGAAGAAAACAGTTTGACAAAGAGGATAAGAGAATTTTTTTTAATTTTAATTACACATTAAAAAGTAATAATTTTTTATTTCTTATTTCACTTGATGTATACTTTGTTATCCGAATTAGAGTCTTTTATTTTCAATGGAAACAAATTTTCACTTAACTTCTTATATCATTGGCACATGATAAGAAAATTTAAGTACAAAAGATATGATATAATTTAGAGATGATGTAGCTGGTTGTTTGTTTATATATGATGTAGGATTGGAACTACCCGGCTTTCTCATATGAACGGATAATTTGTACGTGATGGTCATGTGGCCGTTTTCCTCAATTGATGGCGCTCGTCCGTTTCTGGTGCGGACTCGTGCTGGGCATTAACCTTAACCCTTAAATGGTTGGGCTACAGTAAATTTTTACTTGAAATGGGCAAACTCCTTTTGGTCAAAGGCTTACACTTTATAGTTTATACATATAAGCTGGATTAAGGACTTTCTCTCAATGTTGGGCTTTCCCACAATCATAATGGAATTCATTATTGGGCCTACCAAAATCTCTTTTCTTTATGGAAAGAACCAAAAAAATTGAAAATATGAGGAAGAGGAAGAAGAACGCCCAATGCTTGACCTGTTAGAACAGGCAGTTGAGGATTATCTTTAGAAGACATAAATTGTTTGAATCCATCCATCCATCCATCCATCTATCCCCACTAAAGACTGAAGAAAAAGGAAAAACTCACAATCTATTCTCTGCGGAAAACATAAAAATCCCATTCTGTTTTTGTTAGATAAAGGAAATGGACAAAGTGATGAACATAATAAAACCAAAACCAAATCCACAGCAGCCGTTAGGAGATTGGCAGCGCAGGCTCCTCCAAGAGTGCCGCAACATCGAGCGCCAAATCTGATGCAAGTGATACTTTTATTTTTTCTTTGATTTTTTTTTGGTTTTGCAAATTTGCTCTTTTTAATGTAGTTAATATTTTTTTATTAGTTAATATAAAAAATAATAAAAAATTGACATTAATTTTATTATTAATACTATATGTATTATTTTAATTAAATAATTAATTGAATAAATGTTAAATTTTATTCTTTTAACAACAATTAATATTAAAAAGTTGTTCTTAACCTGTGTTGTAGCACAAGTTAGAAGAACTCATATATATATATATATATATTTGTATATATTTGCAATTCTCATGGTGGAGAATGGATTTGATTGTTCATAAAGTGATTGAAATTTTGAATTTTGGATTGATGGGTATAGTTAATTTTGATTTTTGATGAACGGTTAAGACATCCAGATGGAGGAGAGGAATGTGCAGAAGGCTATTGGAGATGCTGCCAAGAGAAACGACACGGGCTCTGCTAAGGTACTTGCAGATTCCTCTGCATTCTTTGTTTCATCTTGTAATACCGAATAATTTTTAGATTTCTCATAATTATTATTAAAAGGGTTAAAATTTAATTATGAGCAGATATTATTTTAAATTCAAGAGATTATTATTAAAGATTTAATTTGAGGTTAATGTCTTTTAATTTACAAATTTTTATTTTCCTAACCCTATTCCCTTCTCAAAATAAATTTACTTTTACGCTATAATCACCTTCTCCTATATCCAGTCATCTTCTTTTTTTAAAATTCAACCATAAGATTTTAAAGGTGAGTATATTTGTTCTTTTTTATTTCTTGTTCTTTTTTATTTCCTTGGATCTTTATTACTAAACCCAATAATATAATCCCTAGTTCTCTTTTTATACTTGCTATTAAGATTTCATCTCATATTTGACATCAAAATCTTAAACCCTAGTGAGTTTTCAGGTCCTGCTTTAAGGATTATTGAATCAGTTGTAGATGGTGTAAATATCTATATATATAATTCTTGATTTACTAGTAGAAATTAAAGGAGGAAGGAGTCACTGTACAGCAACACCCCCACGATTGCGTGAGTGCTACTACGCGAGGACAAGTGGCAATGATACCATTGCCTTGTTGGTTTGAGATTTGTAGTAGTGTTGACACTCTAATCCTGTAACAGATCAGGTGTTGACACCTCCTTGTCCATTAAAATAAAATGAATAAAAATAGTTGGGGTGGGTGGTGCCGTACAATGCAATACATGGTACTGTGTGACAGGTTTAAGGGTTGATTCAATGGTGCAACACCTTCAATTTTAGTTAGTAAATAGGTGCAAACACATGTGTAGGAAATTTAATATGGATCTTATAAAATTAGATATTATTAAGTTAAATTCAAATTAGTAATTTTGGATTGTTGCTGATTAATATTTAATGTAGATTTTAGGTTCTTGATTGTTTGCACATTTCATATTTAAGATCTTTATATTCAAGGTAAGTGAATTTATGGTTTTGCCTTTGATTTTAAATATAATTTTAAAACATGATTTTTTTTTTATCAATTTTGAGATAGTTACGGGATTAAGAACCTGTTTTGGTTTAGTTACCATGACTGAATTTCATTTTATTTTAAGTTGGATTTTAATTGTTTAAGTCTAATTATAGAAATTTCTTAATACATGTTGCTTGACTCTTGTGATACATGTTTTCTTGAAATAAGTATGTTTATTTAAAATGTACTTCTTAGCCTGTTTTAGTATCTAATATAGTCATGTTTTACTTGTGTTTGCTAGTGGAAGGTTTATAAATGCTAGCATATGTTGACACGTTACTTGTGAAACCGGTTTATTCTTGTTATACTTGTTATCCTACTTGGGGATTATACACTAGCAAATCTTGTGCCGGCCAGTGGGAGGTTTATAAACATTAGCTATGACCTATAGAGGAGATGTCTATTTATTTCCCATACTTGTATCAATTTTCTTGATACTTGATTTATACTTGCTGGCTTGCTTAATTTTAAATTTATAAATAAAAAGGGGAAGCCTAATATTCACTTACTGAAAGTAAATCTCACATTTTTCCTTATCCATCATTTTAGGTAACGTTACTAGAGACGTTGGGGATTAGGGCATGTGACGAATACTTACTAGAATTAGTTTGGACTTAGTGCAGACTTGATTTAGTTCTTTTGGAATTATTAGGAAGTTGAGGATTTAATTAGTAGTTATTACATTATTTGACTTTGAAGGATTTGTTTGAACATTGCCTAAATTTTAATAATAATAGAGGTATTAGCTGACTTTATTTAATTGTATTCAATTTTTAGATAGTAAGTTAACTTGGTTCGAAGCTTGGTGCACTTGTGGGTCCCACTTACAAGTGTACGACGTCTGTTCCGCTCCATGGTTTAGGGTGTGACACATCTAGTCTATTGTCTAACTGAATCCTTCTGATTTTTCTATGATTCTATTTGATTATCAATTTTGCATGACTTTTGGAGTGGAAGAATTACTTAAACATTTTGTATTTTGCTATTTTACAGATGGTAATAAAGCTCATATGTTTGCGCAACAAAGCTGATTATGTTCTTAAGAGCAAAATGAAAGTTGACTAAGTTTGACATCAATGCATGGCGTTCACTTTTGGTTTTGCATTGTTCCTGTTTAACAAAATGGTTGATTCCTATAGTTCGATGCTGAGATATTTGTGAACGATAAACTTTAGCAGTTTGAATTGAGTGTGAATTCATTTTTCTTATCCATTGTGTGATCTATATCAAGCACTTGCTAAAGAAATTGTGAGATCCAGAAGAACAGTGAACCGTCTTTATGAAATTAAGGCACAACTACATTCAATATCAATGCACCTTAAGGAAAGTGTGGGTATGATGCTCCACTTGCCTTAGCGTATAGTGTGGTTTTGATTATTTATGCATCTATCATTTATGAGAATTTCTTATTTGTGAGTAAAATGAAAATCTATATGATGTGAATAGAATAAGAAGAGTAAGGAGGGTGCATTTCGAGGCATTTGTTACCTATAACTACCTAGAATAAGCCTATCTTTATTAAGGATGCTCAAGTGATGGATTGAATGAAAACCAGGCATTTTCCTTTTAGATATCCTATTAGACAAGTAGTTATTTTCTCTAAGAATGCTTCAATACCATAGCAAGCCCTAGCCAACCTGGCCACTAGATGGCCTTTGGAGTTGCTGATGTTAAGTTCATTTTATAACCTTCGTAATTGTAAAGTTTTACCATGCTTGTCCTTCTTCACCTTGCTGACATTTCTTGTTTCCTCCATATTGATTCTATAAATTTATTTGAATTTCTTGGAAATAATATAGCTGGTACTCATACAATTGAACATTTGTCCAAGAGTGCTGAGGTTATGAAACTTGTCAATAACCTTATGAAGGCTCTAGAAGTTGCTGCTACAATGCATAAATATTTAGCAAAGAGATGACTAAGGTACCTTACTACCCACATTTATATCTGTCAACTCTTGATTTGACAATCATTTGTAATTTATAAGCAGGGGTAAGTTTGAAGATTCTAAAGAAAAGATGAGACAGAAAGGGAGACAAAGAGAAAGAGGAGGTGATCGTCAGACATGGGAAAGAAGGATAACACAAGGTAGAGAGCATGCAAGATCTCAAGGAAGAAGCCAACACAAGGGGATTGATCCAAAGGAACAGTGGAAAATGCAATCTAATGGTTTTTGCAAAGAAAGAATGGTGGGTCTTATGATTGGGGCTTGTATAAACAAGCCACACCTTATTTCTTCACAAATTTCCCAGATGGATGGAGTTATGCAGATATATGGGAAAGCTTCTTGAAATTCAGAAGAGTTTATGCCATATACAGTCTAAATAGGAAAAGTAGAAATGGAGGCAAATTTGGATTTGTGAGATTCCTGAATGTGAAGGACATGAGAGAGCTTGAAAGGCAACTGGATCAGATTTGGATAGGGGATCGCAAACTATGGGTGAATACTCCAAGGTATGATGATGAGTAGAAAATCAAAATGAGGCATAGAACTGGTCAAGCTATGGAACCAATGTTGCAAGACAGAAGTTATGCCAAAGTTGTGAAAGGCCCACAAGATGAAAGTCATGATGAGAAAAGGAAGGGTGAGAACAAAAGCAGAATCAGACATGGGAAATGTAATATTGATAGTAGGAAAACATGGAAAGACAAAGGAAAAATGAAAAATTGGGTTGGTTTTGAATATAACATCAATCCAGATGATTGTGCATAGCTTGACGGTTTCTATGTGGGGATGGTTTATTCGATTGAAATGGTCCGTAATTTGCAAGAAAAATTCTATATGGAAGGTTATTTCTCATGCCAAATCCGTGCTATGGGAGGAAAGATGATGTTGTTAGAGTGTGAAGATAAAGAGGAATTAAATAACCTGGTAAAGATGGCCTCAAAGTGGTTAAGACAATGGTTTGAATGGGTACGACCTTAGACACTTGAAATGGTCGCTTCTGAAAGGTTTGTGTGGATTAGATGTCAAAGAGCACCATTAAATGCTTGGAGTTCAGACTTTTTTTGAAACCATGGGCTATTCATGGAGAAAATTCATTTGCTTGGATGACAGTATAAGCAAAAGGAGGTTTGATGTTGCCAAATTCTTGATCTCAACTTCAATCATGAACACTATTTTTGTTACGCGTCAAGTTAAAATCAAGGGATTTGTGTACAATATTAAATTCATAAAGGAGGAGTTTACTAACAGCTTCTTCTCTTTAAAGCAGGATTTCTTGCCCATATTTAGAGCGAATTTGAGGAACATAAATCATGGTCGATTGGTAGTGACAAGGAGGACCTTGGCATCCAAGATGTAATAAAAGCTAAACTAGATAAGGATGGACATGCCGAAACAGATGTAAAAGATGATGATGTGCCAAGTAATAGGTGCAGGAAATACAGAAAGCTTTTGATACAAGATTCGAAGGATGTGGAAAAGTCTGCAGCAGTAGTGCTTGACAGTCAGATTCAAACTCAAAATTTGACAGATGGAGACTACAATGTTGGAGTCGAAAGCAAAGAAGTAAAAATCGTATCGTATTTGCCGGTACGGCCGGTACGTATCGGTTTTTAAAGTTAACCGAAATGATATAATATTAATTTTCGTTTCGGTCAAAATTCGATGTATTGGCCAAAATTTCGGTGAACCAACCAGTTCACCGAAACTTCAGCCGGTACACACTGCAAATTAAAAAAAAAAAAAGAGGATTCCCTAGCCCAAAACGACGTCGTTTTGGGCTAAGGGCTTCTTAATAAGAAGTTGTCCGTACAACTCAATTCAAATTTAAAAAGGGTAAATTTCAGTTTTGGTCATCAACTTTAATGTTACATATAATTTTCATCCTTTAACTTTTTTATGTACTTTTTTAATCCATTTTTCATTTTTTTTAGTCTTTCTATCAATTATTTTGTTAAATTTGTCTAAATATACACATTTTTAGTCCCTTAATTTAA